TTGTCCCGTTAGAACGATGTACTGCTAACCTTCTAAACAACCTGGTTGATTAATAGTTTTTCTCTAAACTATTAACTTTACACCAAAATAACTGCCATAGACATAGATGCCCTCAACAGGAAGCAAGATGAGGAAGAATCAGATGACCTGAAGGAAGGGAGTGGCAAATGAACCAGAACTGATAAATCATCCATCTACATTGATAAACTGCAGGGGTGGTTGAAGAACAAAAGCAAACAAGAAAATCAGCTATTTCCCAGGAAAACCATCTAGCAAGGGAACTCCAAGATAAAAGCCCCAGAATTGGCAAGAGCTGAAAAAGAGGTAATCCACAATGAACCAGCCAAAAAGAGGCAATGAGTGCTGTGAATTAAACATAATACCCTGGGAAGAAGTTGAAGAGGTGGACAGGAATAGAAAAAAGATGGAATACTGTCAGGGTCATAGAACATAGGACTTGTGACCAAGAAAGTGGAAGATCAGTTTAAAGGGGAGTTACAAATGGATTAATAATAGAACTCTAAAATGGTAAGTCTCCTGAAATACCAGATGTAAAGACAACTCTGTTTGAATGACTCAATTCAACAGAAAAAAACCTATCTGCCACCAAATTCAAAGTTCCTAGAACATGGAAGGTGATTTTGTGTAAGCTCAAAAGTGGAGCATGAGAACAAGAAGCAGAGGTCCCAAGAATGAGTACCCCTGTATTGGTTGATGTAAAAAAACGACAGTGGAGTTGTTGAAATAGATCAAAACAGAATGTCCAGACAACTGTAAGAAAAGATGGTGGCAAATCCACTCCACAGGAGACTAATCACCAAAAAGGGTAAAAGTATCTAGAAATGCACTCCATCTGACTAGAGAAGCATCCATGAGTAAGTGCAAGTCCAGGTGGGGTTAAGAAAAAAAAGAGAGGCTCAGAGTCTTGCGGAAATGTTTGAACTCCATGACAACAAGAATGGAAGAAATGGAGATAGAGAAATGAGAAAAGACAAGAGATCACATGGTATATTCCTCTGATCAGGCAGAACTCACAAAAGGGAACACAAGAAGCAAAAGACCCTAAATGAAACATAGTATCTCATGTAAAGGGAGGAAAGGAGACAAAGCCTTGGAAATAAGAAGCTTCTTATTTCAGAAATCTAAAGAAGGTTCAGCCTATGAAGCAAATAATGTGATTAAGACTCCCAAATAAATCAGATACCAAATTGGAGTCAATACTGACTGAGAAGCTTGACCAGCCAAATTAAACACGAGAGGTTGTAGCAGAAGCTGTCTCCCAAGACAGGGTGAGGAGTTGTCAAGTGTCCATATAATGATCCAACAAGTGCATTCTACATGTGAATGTCCTCAGAATTAAAATGAAGACACTCAGGTGTAAGTCCTGTATGATAAAGAAAATTGTCTGTAGAAATTCTGTGTGACCCAAAGGTCTCCTGCCAAGTGAGCTCACAGATGGACAAAGTGGAACAGCAAAGTATCCACAGGACCAAAGCTAAGAGATGGTTCCAGAAATAACTGATCACTGGGCCTCATGATGGGGAACACCAGAAAAGGGGCCATAAGATGAGGAACTCCCCAAAAGATCTGCATTTTGGAAGGGTGTCAAATGGAGTACCCCAAGATAAAACTGAGAGAGCCTAACTCCAGAAAAAAGATATCCTGATAAAGCAAATTCCAGAATCAAAGAAAGTGACCTGGGTGACAGCTAAGAAGAAAATGGAACAGCAATAAAAATATGTTAGTGAAATTGTAGGAGTTGAAAAACAGTAAAATAACAAATGTCACATACCCGAGTTATCAAAGCAGTGAAGGAGAAATATAAACAACAACTGAGCCACACCAGAGATAGAAGAACCACAAACAAAAACATACTGTAAAAAGAGCAAGTCAAAGACAAGTCAAGCTCAGCAGAATGTACAGGAGGAAGCCAAGGATCTTGGGTCCAAGATGAAACAACCATGTGATATACATTGGTGGTAGCATTTCTTACAATTTGAATAGCTTCAGTGTTCACTTTTTGACAGAAATAGCTCCTATGAATGAGTCTGGATCTCAGGGGATTTTAGAAAAGTGGATATGAAAAATTATATTCAAATAAATCCACAAAACTGAATTAGTGGAAAGCAATATTATTGTTATTATTACTTTTTAAGTAGGTTTGGTGTGTCCATGGTATGTAGGCCTTGGTCATTTTTGTATTGAGAAAAATTTATATGAATTATCAAAACTCAAACAAAAAGTTGATAATTATGGGGAATATTCTTGTCAAAGAAACTATCCCAGGCTCTGCAACATGTATCCCACAATTTTGTTAAATTAATCACAAGAAGAAATCAAATTAATGTAATAAAGATAATAACATGTATTACAAGTTCTAACCAAATTTTTTTAAATTTGTATCTTTCTTTCTTGAAATCAAGAAAGTAAAGATAAAATTTCAAATGTTAACTAAAAGTTTGAAATAACAAGAATTCCCTAATTTGTAATAAAAAAAGACAGTTGAATCCAAGAGTGCCAAGGAAAGCATGAGCCTTCAGTTTACAAACTTGCTCAAATGGAATACTGCACAAGGAAGATGTGTCACCCTCCAAGTGGCAGATAGTCAGTTTAATGCTGATTGTAACATAAATTGGCACAGTACACATTATTAGGTGTGGGAGTTTTGTTCAAAGGCTTCATGCCTGCACAAAAACTTCTTAGGCAGTAGCATGATGTAATAGCTATCTGTTCTGAAGACACAGCTCTTGACCAACCATAACACTTACTCTGCTCTCACAGTGTACTAGTTCCACTTACTTCTACTTATTCCTATCCCCAGTAACTTCTGCATGGATATTTCTGAACCAAAGTTCTACATCTACCCTTTAAAGCCAAGATATGTAAATGTTGTAATCTGAACACATAAACAAAACACATAAAATCTCTCTTTCTATAATTTCAACTCTACAAGCTTGAAAATGCAGATCAACATGAAGAATAGAAGAAAACAAACCCCCCATTATTCATAGACATAAACATCTCATCACCTGTGTATATAGAAAACCTACCCAGATAAATAGCTAACTACAATTTAATTCATTCACCCATATTCAATAAAATATGAAATAATCAGAAATACATTTGACATTGCCCAAAAATTCTGAGAGAGATACCAGCTTATAAAAAACGTTTTAAACAAAATTTTCCAATCCATTGGCTACTTTAACAATTATATCTCAACTTCAAAGACAAATAAAACTGATCAACACAAAACCAAGATTATTTTGCCATTCATCCTTAAGCTACAAACCCAGAAGAATTTACCACAAGTGTAACATCAAAACGTATTTCGAGTAATAATAATAATAATAAAAAAAAACTGTCAGGATAATGTTAACCAAAGAGAAACAACCAATCAACAAAATAATAACAGACAATTAATTTACAAAATTCCTTCTTCTTTCAGTAATGCATACATTGGAGAAACCAACAGAAAGTTGTGATCTATTCAAGTTAACTACAGACTGCTCTAGAACTCCAAATTTCCAGGAGCAGATGTATTCTTTGGAGTCAGAATATGCTTCCACCTGGCGGTGGTAGGCTAAATCAAGAAGTTCCAACAACTGTGGCAGACAAGGCGTAGTTATCTTTTCATGTAACTGAGCATTAAACCTCCCTGCATGAACTATAATGTCATTGGATGGAAGAAAAACTAAAAATTCACTCCCTGACCTTTCAGCCATCAAGTAAAGTGTAGATTCAAAAGCAATTGGGGAAAGACCCAAACATCACACGCTCGATGGACCAACTGAAGAAAACAAGCCTGAGGCAGCTTATCCAAAAGTAGCCTCCTGAGAAGCCAACAGAATAAAGGAAGACAAAGGAGAAAGCGAATCTAAATTTTCTTCAGAACGTCCAGGATTGCCCTCAGAGCCCCTTGGAGGAACACCATTGAACTGAATATATGACACTGTCTCACACAAATGAATTTTTTTTTTTTTTACAAAAATCAACTAGGTAAAACAAAGAATGCTCAAAGTACAAAGAAACCTGTTTTTGAATGCTTTGTCAAGAATGAGGTGCTTCTATATACTACAAGGACAGAGGGTGCATTGACGTAGGCAGAGAGTGTTACAAGTCAAATATCGCCAAGGACAATTAAGTGGGGTATAAAAGACTGGAGCAAGTGAGAAAAAAATCACACCAGTGCTTAGATGGGCAAAGGAAGAAATCCTGGCAGTCAAGTAATAGCTATAGTGTGAGATGAAGTATGTTTTGGAAATGGAAGTTTCTTTCTTTCTTTTTTTGGTAGTGCACTTTAAGATACATTATGAAAGAAAAACTATAATACAGGAACCAAATGCTGAAGTTAGTTACAAAAGTAAAAGTTCTAAACAGTATGTTTTGTAGGTTTAAATCATTGACGAAACCCAACATATATTGGTTTCATAATTATTTGTAGTAAAAAACAACAACAACAGAAAAAAAAAGGATATATAAAGTCTGATGCAAAACAATTTTACATTTTTGAGAAATAAGATTCAAATTAATGGCACGATAAATATTTATGAAGGTTCCAGATGTACTTCTAATAAATTAGTTTTAAGTCAAACAATTATTTGTTGTCACACACAAATCCCCTGCCATTACAGTCCTTTCAACAGCTAAAGCTTAATTAAGAAATGAAGTAAATACTTAGGAATAAATTGTATATTATTTTATTTATTTTGGCAATGCTATGTAAGGAAAAAAAAAGTGTTTCAATATTTAAATTCCAAATTTACAGTCCAATAAAATAAAAAAAAAGGTGTTATAAACTCTTTCTTTGCTAAAGTCACATATAAGTGATTATTATACAAAGTCAAGTTTTCTTGTACAAATTACGAGGTTGAGCTTATTGAAGTACTGCACTGATTCTAAAAACCAACATTCTCTATACAATAGTATACACTACATGGAATATTTACTCCTCAAAACTTTATTACAAAATTATTCAAAATACTTAAAGGCTACAAAATTGCAACAAATGATTCATAATTTCCTCATCCTTTTATTAACACATCAAACATAGAAATTTCAAGCATTCTGTTAATTTTATAGAGTAGAAAGTAACCACAGATACAAAAAAAATAAAAGACTATACAAAGTAATATGTACATACAAAATAATGCAATACACCAAAGCACTGTCTGAGATCAAGGGAAAGCTGATTTCAAGGGCTCTTCAGCACCTTGACCAATACAGGATAAAGGAATGGGAGGATATAGCTAAAAGTATGGTAGAATATACAGTGAACTTAGCTGATAGCAGAAGCAGTGATTGTATACAAGTTCATGATCATGATATACAAGAAACTTTTAGTAACTACTGACTATTCTAACAGATCTTTCTCAATGAAGAAGTTGACATGCTTTTCCTTGCAGACCTAGTAAAAGAGAGAAAAGATGATAATTATTTATGTTTAATAAATGACAACATGAAAATGATCTGTTAAATAATACAAGCTTAAATTTCTATAACAGTTCTAACTAAATTGTTGTACTAAAGCTTGTATCGAAGTATATGCCCAAATAATACACTGTAAAGTATAACAGAATATCCTGGTTGTCGATGTCTGAGGGAAGAGAAAGGATTTGGAATGCTTTAGAAGTCAGTATATTGAGCATTACATAGATAAAACAATAATGTCTTTCAGCACCAGAAACTCACCCTGCTACTAGTAAACTAACCTAAAAATGAATGAAGCTGCCTTAAAGTAATTTTAGCTGCTATCAATTGTTAGTTTCATAAAAAGGCAGCACTAAATTGAGTAACTGCCTCAACTTATGCACTAATCTCATTAAGTTGGTTGCAAGAGTATAAGGTGTTTGACATCCAAACAAATGAGCAATCACATCTACTTAATCAGAACATAATAAGAAACCTTAACAATTTCATAAAGTATTTTAATCTCTTGATTTATCCAAAAATATGTAGTGGCACTTAGTTTTCTCTATGTCACTTTATGTTCCCTAAGCAAGTCTATTAAATTGTAGTGATTTCAATTTTTAATATTTCCTTCACTCAAATTTGAACCTAAATATCTCTCACACACTAGATGAGTGTTTTACAAAAAAACACTATACAAAGTAATATGTACATAAAAAAATAATTATTAATCCTTTTTCCCCTGGGATGCCAGGTGAGTGCTCTACCAACTAAGAATAAGGGTTAACCCACTTGCATTTGATGGTAAAACACTATTTAACAACTCAAATGGCCATAAATGTTGGAATAATGGCTACAGTCCCGTTTTCATTGGCCACTTCTAATTCCAACACAACAACATCAGAAAGATACTCTTTCTTTTTAGTTTTATAACTCCTTTCACTAATATGTCTAATAACATTGAACCTTACAATATGAACAACTGGTTTAATTAAAACTGTTGATTTGAAAAAATTCTGAATTTAGTCTACAGAATAACAACTGACCAAATTTCAACTTTTACTGAAATTACTTCTAAGCACTTGGCAGTCTCTAAAACTTACTTTTGATCAGTCACAGAGTAACCTAATACTATGAAAATGAACACTTCATATGCAAGTATTAGAAACAGGTTAACTGAAAACTAACTTGTATAACATAATCACTCATTCTCACACACAAATATATATATATATATATACACATCTATCAAACAGGGACCAGAACAAAAATGTTTATGGAGGTCAAAAGTTTGGGGGGTGGGACAAGGTCTCTAGACTCTTTAACATATTGGTATGCTAAAATTCAATATCCAGAAACAAACTGCATATTCTGATGTGGTACGAGTTGTTGTTTAGGTCAAACTATTGTAGATATAATTAAGAAATTTATAAACTTAGTCAATATTATTCAATCCACGATATGCCAACTGCACGGCTTATTCTTTATAGCTTCAAAGGGTCTACAGATTTTTAAGTTTCTGTTTTTTTTTTAGTTGCTGAAGAGAACTGGGAGACCAATGATATTTTCTTAGGGACTACTACCCACCAGGAGGCCTAAAGAGCAGCAAAAAATGTGTACTGAATTTATCAAACGAGTATGGAACATTTAAACAAACATTAAACATACCTTCAATCACTTATGAGTGTACACGTTATAATTCTATTTGATTGAGTAAAAACAAATTAATCATCAAACTGGTATGAAATAAAATAAATGCAAAGTGATTAGTAGCAAAATTAGTGGAGTATAAAGTTTAGTTATTTAGATAATTTATAATGGGGTTACATTATAATAAAAAAATAAATACAAAAACAGCAGCTATGTAGAGAAATTACTAATACAACTGTACCATTAATACATGCTGACAGATATATCAAAGAACAAAAATTCAAAGTGCTGGCTTATCCATGGTAAATAAATTCAAAACATGTAGATTGTCCTCAGATTTTGTTTAGACATTAAAAACAAGTTCAAGAAAAGATGCACTGGAAAAAAAATCTATCATTGGCCTTATATTCTGTGGAGACAAACACTGTGTGGATCAAACATGTACAATTACACATTTCATGAAATGTAATCTTAAGCCTTTTTCTCATTAAGTAGAATAATTATAACAACAAAGTTTAGTATATCTTGAGAAGAAACTTACAGTGGGTGTTTTGGTGTTGTACTTGTTGATGATTTGAGCAAGATTGGTTTTTTTGTTAACCGTTTTGTAACATCATAAGGTGTATTAACACTGATTTCCTTCGTTGTTTTTCTTGAATATGGTTGCTTTATCTTAAAAGTTGTTGAAGTGGTCATGGACATAAAAGGTGCTTTCTTATGAGCTCCTATGCCTGAAAGACAAAATTATTTTTAAAATATCACCTTATATAAAAAAACACAAAAAATAAAACCTTGGTTAACAGATATCAACACTGATTTTTATGGAATTTTTAAAATCCCCAAAATCTGTTATTCAATACAGAACTCATTCTGACTGTTTAATAATTATTGTCACCCTGTCATTTATTCAGTTCATTTTCCTACCAGTTGACAATTTGTTCAGGTTGAAGAAAAAAGAATACATCAATAAAGTCAAACACTTTACAGTGTATTCAGGAGTCAGCTACTTTTGGAGACTTGTTTTGGAAAGTTGAGCAGTTATACATAAATGATGGTGTAGTGTGCCATGTCTGATGGCAAATCAGATAGTTTGTCCTTTGCTGTGGTTAAATTGTTTGCCTAATTCTCTCAGTTCAGAAGTTATAATTTTCCTACACTGAAAATGTATGTCTGATAGGTATTTACCTCCACTCATATAAATAACTATTCAAATTCAGTGCTGCAAAACATTTTTTTTATGCATGTCACAAGCCTTATATCTCCCCTCCATTGGAATTGACTAATTCCAATGCATCTCTCATGCAAATCATCATGCATCAACCCTACTTCAATAAGAGTGTGACATAATCTCATGATGCATGTCACTCCCTCTATTCAATTCTACCAAACTATCACTTCGAGTTTTGGCAAAAGGTGGAAGCAGAGTAGGAAGTGTGAAAGGGTTGGTGGAGGGTTGACGCATGAGAGACGCATTGGAATCAGTCAATTCCATGGAGGGGTAATAGAAGGCTAGTGGCACGTGTGAAATTGTTTTTGCATATAGAAGGCAGCACTGAACGAGAATAGCTATCTATGTGGGTGGAGGTAATGTACCGTATTGGAATTTGTCCTCAAAGATATAAAATTTTCAGTGACAAGACCAGAAGTATAGAAGACATCTTCCTCTTTTGGGACAAGATAATTTGAAAAAGTAAAAACAATAGCCACCTCATCATAGTTTGTCAAAACACCTGTTGACCAAGACTTTTCTTTTGGTTTAGCCTTAAAAAAAAAACATGACTATGAAGGCAAATGTAATTAACACATCACTAAAAATATTTAACAGGAAGAAGAATTTGAAGACACCAGTAATAAATAAAAAAACTCTCTTTATAAGAAATGTTTTCATAACATTTCAAACTAACTTATTTCTACACTTACAATTCTGAAACAAGCATTGACACATACAGTACACTACAGCAAATTGTATTACGCCCTGACAAATGATGCAATAAATTGAATAAAAAAATTATCCTGATGGGAAAAATTAGTTTTCAACTACATTTAAAGAAATAATAACTATTGAAAAGAACATTTTTGAAGAAAGCATTTTACAATATAAAGCAAGCATACCAGGTAAAAAACAAAATGTGAATAGAGCTGTGTAAAGGAGGCTTACTACAAAATGTTAGATTTGAATATGGAAATAACAGAAGCAAAATGCCAAGCAACTCCACCTTTCACTACATTTTATTTATATATATATACATACCAGCTTTTACCCTACCTTATAAAGCTAAGGTTTTTATGTTGTCTTTAAATGTCAACAGTTTTCATGGGATCATATACTTTGTTAAATAAGCAAATTATTCAAATGACAAAATATACAGACATCATATACACAAATTTTTCCCTTGCAGGCTTCAATGCACCATCAAACTTGAAAAAGGAAAGAAAAAAAAAATAGTATAATGTGAAAGAACGTACACTTGGAAAAAAGATTCTAATACTAAACAAAATCTGATGTATGGATCTGCTAATATATTCAAGTTTACAGAAAACATTGTTTGTATAATCACAGAAATTAAATTTTCTATGCTGTGTAACCTGGTTTTAAGTATTAGCCTCTTTAACAAATAAAATGTGAAACATATATAAGAAACTTGTAATAAACTGCAAATGTTTTAGGATATTTTGACCTTATTTTGCTTCTAAAAGGAAACAAAATATTAAAAAGGTAAATTCTATACACAAAGTAATATACTTTTCTGTGTTTTATAATTGTTAAGTATAACTTATAGAATTCAATATTTTTTGCCTCGCGGGTTCAAATCCCCGTCACACCGAACATGCTCGCCCTTTCAGCCATGGGGGTGTTATAATGTGATGGTCAATCCCACTATTTGTTGGTAAAAGAGTTGGCGGTGGGTAATGATGACTAGCTGCCTTCCCTCTAGTCTTACACTGCTAAGTTAGGGATGGCCCTCGTGTAGCTTTGCACGAAATTCAAACCAAACAAACAATATTAAACAGAAACCTGAGATTAGCACAAACCTCTAATTTATAACAAAATTATTAATAATCAATATACAAGCAACAGTATCTTAACCCTGATGAGTTTAGTGGAAAAGAAGAGTTTGCAGAATTTAACTTAAAACCACATTCATGCAAAAGTAAAATGCGTTTATCTTTTTGCTAAAAATTCATACTTTTTTTTAGGGTCCGGCATGGCCAGGTGGTTAAGGAGCTCGACTCGCAATCTGCGGGTCTTGTTTAATATAATGATGTGTTTTGTTAGATGCAGTCATGTATTTAGGATTCTCTAATTACCTTTGATCTTAGCTGTTTTGCATATGCCAAATATAATTAATTCATATTTCTCAAATCATACTTATTACAAGCAAAAGTACCCGCTCCCAGTGACAGGAAAAGTTTAAATTAATCTGTCAATTTAAATTACTTCATGAACTTTAAAAAGGTTAATTGTGTTGCACTCTTGGTTTCATTCAGAGCCAAAGCTCTGACCTACTTATACAGCTCAATGTGAAAAGAAATTGTTGAGCATTTCAGTCATGCTAAGAGCTGCTCAATAATAACATATGGTAAATCTACATTTTTTATTCTTTAAGTTACATCACATTTTGAAATGTGAATGATAGTGTGATTAATTCCTAACAACTTAGTGTAGAATATCCTGCTTCTGAAATAAAATTTGGCATTAACTTTATTCAGGCTTGTTCTGTGCACAGCTTTTCAAACAGAAGATAGATGAACACTCAGGTAGACCACATGGTTTGCAATATATATACAAGATTCTTATCAGTTCAGCTTTTTTTTATTTCATGAATAATACAGTTTCTGGATATTTATATATTGTAAAACGACGACTTTCGTTTATAAAGTCTGCATTTGGTCTTTTTTACAGGACCACATCTATATTTCAAACAGCTACCAAATTTAAATTTCTAAGTAATAGTTAAGGCATTAAGAACAAACAAACAAAGGAGAAGAGAAACAAACTACTGAAGAAAAAGAATATGACAAAATCACATTCCTCTTGCCTGAATGATGGAAAGTTTTTACATAATTGCAAATAACAAATACCAATGCCAAAGCGGAATCGGGTATCTTCTGTACAATATTTTAGAAATTATATTTTAAAGTGTGAAAATTCATTGTTTATGAAGATTCCTCAAAGATAACACTAGATATTGCTACTAAAAAACTTGGCCTTCATTTTAGATCTTACTTTTTCCTTAAATATAATTATTTATAAATTTGTGTTTTTCCAAATAACACATATACATGCATTTATACACGTTCATCTATCTTGTATATCATATATAATTAGCACTATTTTATCTTCAGAATAAACAATAACAGATAAAATTATTCACTTTTAATAAAGGCTAATAAAAATGAAAAATTTCACAATCAACATACTTTTTCTACTTCCATTAGAAGATTTTTCACCCTTATCATGGTAAGAAAGCTGTATTTCCCCAAGAGGACCACGTTGAATCTGAGGAACTGCTGATGTAAAAGATTCAGTACCTCCATTAACCTTCACTAGCTCATTCCTAGTTTCATCATTTAACTTACACACATTTTCTTTGTCCACAGAAATTTTTGAAGAGGTAGATTTCTCAGAAAACCAAGCTATATTTTCTTGCCGGCCATTGACTTCCACAGATGAATGCTGTCCAATATTTGATGTCAGAGTGCAGACAGAAGAACAAGAAGGTTCAGAAATTGTCACTTTAGGTATTTTTAATGAAGCTATAGGACACCAACTACTGGATACTGATGTGCACGGCAATTTAGGAAGACAGCTGTTGAAAGCATATAATGGTGATGCCGGAGTGGCAGTAACTTGAGACGCTAACATTACTGGACGTGGTACTGCTGGAGTTGGAGGAAATACAAATGTAGAATCTGATGTTACACTTCTTCTGTGGTGTCGGTATCGATTCTGTGGTAAAGCTGACTTTACAACATCAGCAAATGTAAGCCTTCCTGTGATTGACAGAACAGAAATTTAGGATATTAAAGTAAATTTCACACTAGGGCCAGGCTTAAAAATATTTCTGTTTGTTCTAACCCACTGAGCTTCTGAAAGATTTCTGGCATTATGATCAGGAAATTTTTATTTTCACCAATTTCTGCTGATATACCAACCCATTTAACAAAATTTCCGACTTTAAAATTTTTTTATTGGCATATTAGGGTTAGAATATTGTTAGGTATACACGACAATTTTAATTTAAGTATAGCATGAGTGTTGAATTTAGTTATTTTTAGAAGCAATAGTTTATCGCGGGCTTATTTATGTAACTGTGCAAATCTAACATTGTGTAGTTCAATTGTCATATTATTGCATCATGTTTTAGAATCTTCAAAATTTCTTTTGAGTATTAATATAATATCTCATAGTGTGTGGACAGTTCTAGGCTTCAGTTGCTATTTGTAAATACACATCCAAAATGTAGTTCAAGTAAGGTAAAGTTGGCGAGAGATATAGTCAAATAGATCTAGATTGTGTGTTTATAAGTTTAGCCATAAAAAGTGTATATAAGCTGTACAATCTGATGAAGAGAGCTAGCTCGAAATGTCATCCTTCTTTAAATAAAAACATAACAAAAACTTGGCAACTGTTCAACCTGTTCTTTAATTTCAATGCATTGAGGTTTGACAACATGGCTTATCTCATCCCCGGGACCCTTCACACTGAACTAATAAATACATGACCTAACATGGGAGAATTTACTATTGATGAGCATCCATCAACAACATGGCAAACACAAGTCCATTTAGTGTATCCCTCTCCAAAAAATTTTCTTGCAGATTGAGGAATAGGATATATATAAAAAAAAATTCAGATTAGAAACTTATCCAGGAGAAGGGAAGTACTTGGCAAAAGAGATGAAACAGAAGAACAAACTGTAAAATTATCAGCAACAGTCAATTCAACTTCGTTGATCAAGGTCTACATGGACCAGCAAGCGTGTGTTGCGAAAGAATTTGAAATTTCTATAATTCTCTTCATAGTATAAATGTTAATAGTAATTATATTCATGGTTTAACGTGTTATGTTTTAGGTGATCATGCGAAGCAATTTGAAAAAAAAAATCAATATCTACCTACCTACCCACATTGTAAATCAGTTTAGGGTCACAGCAAACAGAACTATTTTTAAGCTTGACGTAGACAAAAGATTTGTCAAAAAACTTAATATTAAGAAGAGTTATTTGCAGTTTAGAACTCTTATGTATAAATGTAACTAAATCATTTATTACCAGATTTCAAGGATATACCTTAAGCTCACAGTCTTCCCTTGCAGTTATTGTATGTTATCATAATATAATTTTTTTTGGGGGGAAAAAGAGTAATGTTAACAATTCTATGAAGAAACCACTTATTTCATGAACAGAGTTTGGTGTTGATTTCTTTACTGCATAGCAATTACAAACTATACATAAAAGCAATTTCATGCAACAATCCAAGGATGATTTATAGTCAATGAATATCTCTATGAACTTCAGTAACAAAGAATTAGTTATATTTGTTTAAGACAAATTCTAAAACCCTTCCTCCTGCTGCAAATTTTCCATCCAATAGTCTTGGTAGGTAAAACATTTTTTTGGAAAGTAAGAGAAAGTGACCAAATTTGAATGTTGCTTGACAAGCACTTATTTATTTCTATTTTGTACTGTGTTATGTTTATATAGTTACTGCTGAGAAAACTGTGGATACCAAATCAGTCAGTCACTGAAGTCAAAAATGAAACACGTTCTTATTACATGACCTAGCCATCTTTATTATGTTCGGTAATTTGGCTTGTCAAATATTCATATGGTTAAATGAAAAGCACTACCTTTCTTTAATAACTTATCATATCTGGAGAGAAGATTTATGAGAAGAATATATCCGAGAGATGTTGTCAATGGACTGTATCTGTCTAGGAAGTTTTTGGGTAATGTTTTGAGTTGCTAATACAAATATTCATCAAGTCAAGTTATTCAAATTTTATCACGTAGGAATGCAAGCTTTGCAGGTTGAAAAGAAAAAGTAAACCAAAGCAGGACTGTGAGTGTGGCCATTAGAGAAATCCAGTTGAGACGTACTGTAACATCAACATAGGTGGTCTGTAGTTTAAGCTGTGTGGACGTAGTGTTTATGGTCTCGTAACAGAAAGGGGTCAAAATTTTATTGAAAATTAAGTCCTGATTGCAGTTGAGCTTTGGTTGATGAGTCTTGATGTAGAAAGCTACTTTGAGTTTTATAGTTTTGCAGTGTTTCTCAACTGTTTCCAATTCATGTGTCTAGTGTTGTTCAGCTAAGGCAGACTTTTACAGATAAAGAAGTTTGATGGCATCTTGATGGTCTCTGATTCAATGTTCAATAGCTCTATATGTCTCTCCTAAGTGAGCTTTTTCACAAGAACAAAGTATTTTGCCAATAGTGTTGATGAGTTTATCTTCACTTGCCAGATTCAATAATCATCTCACCTTCCTTTTGAGATGTAATCTTCAAGTCACTCCACAGTCTCTTCAACCACAATCTAAACCTCTTATCATGAGGATACATTTCTACAATTCAATGTTAACGGTGAAAAATTCTCTACTGTTTTAGGACCTCCTATGTTTATGGTTTATTATACAGCAAGAACTTTTACTTGTTCTCACTTACCCCTACATTTGTCCTAATCATATACCTATAATTTACAGTCTCTCTTAGGAGATTAAGTGTTTATCTGAATTTACCCAGATGGGACTCTCACATGTTATTTGAACCTCTGCATTTGTCCCAGACACAATTCCACCCTCTGCAGTAGTGTTTTATAAAAGGTCGATGCTTTCTCAAAGTGAACAGATGATGCCATCTGGTGGTTAATGATACTTCAATAGGTATTCTTCCCATCTCTGCATGCACATCCTTGCATGGCATTTGATATATGTGAGGTGGAATGCCCATTCTCATTAGATGTCTAATATCTCCAACCAGGATGGGGAACATTTACATTTTTATTTTCTGTTTTATTTTGATGTTTCCATGCACTGATCTCAAGTTGATAAGCACCATTTTTGAAATAGCTTGGGTATTTTTTTAGGTTACCCCAAGTGCCCTTTCATTTGGATGGCTTGTGATTTGGTCTTTTCAGATATGTATGAGGTACTAATGCTCCAAGAGTATATCCACTCATTATTTGTGATTGGGCTGCTTTTTTGAGGACCTTCCACTACAGCAGCTGGTCATAGTATTCCTTCTACTAATTTATGCAACCACCTGTGCCCCCATTGTTGGCTCCAAAGGTAAATAAATTAACAACCCAGCTGACCCCTTTTTTCTGTATGAACTAAAGTGTATCTAGGATGAAGAAAGACCCTACTGAGAAGAATGTCTTCTCTCTGTTTGCCCTTAGGTCCAGTTATTATTTAAGACTGGCTTGCTCTACTTATTCTCACTTGCATCCAGTTATTTGACTACGTGTGGTTTTGGATTGTACTCTAACTTTGTTTGACCACATGTTTGGGGTGGTTTAGGCTATCCAATTCACCAGTCATATGGTATATTTCTATCGATTTTGGATATTTATGCTTGCAAACTATATTTTGAGTGCAACACTACTGTTTTGGTCTAATAACATTGATGACATAGTAATTCCAAAGTTATATTAAAAATGATTAAGACAAAAGGAAAAAAAAAAGGTACTTGTTTAATGGGCAAAACATAATGGTAACATTTGTTGTGAATATTGGGCAATACTATTTGGTAATTCCTGATAATGCACCAGACTTCCTGCCACAGGATTGTGTACTGATTACTACCAACATAGAAATAGTGCTTCTTAGGGCTTCCCTGGAAATGGCAGGAGATTAGAAGCCAAAACATTGGATGAAAAGTGGTTAGTAATTAGTGCCTAGTTCTGAAAAATAAAAGTTATTAATTAATAATTAGACTGAAAGTGATAGTATAGGCTACTAACCATAACAATGACTGGTATCTAATTGCCACAGCCTGACCATAAGTAATTAATATTCAGACTGAATAAACACGATGCAACTCTATATGTGTATATAAAACATCTTTTATAAATTACAAAAATTAACTGGAAGACAGTTTAACATGTACCTGACATTACAAGGAACAAAAAACATTTAAGTTTATTTATACTTATGTAAAGTATCTTTCACAGAATACTAGTTAATTACAAACAACAGACGTTGGCTTGTTCTCAAATGAAATAACTACTTACTAAGAAACAGTCAATAAACAACATAACAAGTACATTGTGAAATTTAAAAAGTAGTTAGCAATATCAGGTTTTTTACTTACATAATAATTTATTGCACCTGAGCTAATAAGCCTTTGATATATGAAGTAGTTTTTAATAGTTTTAAGTAATGCAACTCAAATGCTAAATTAAGTGATAAAGAATAGAATGTAAAATCAACAGAATATATACCAGATAAATATATTGACTGAAAAAAAGTATATTCAATGAACTAACATATTCAACTAAAATGTTCAAATTAGAATAAAACTTACAAATGATTTTTAAAACCAATCTTATTCAAATGCCTTGGATGTATCTTATTTAATGGCTCAATAAAGAAAATAAAGTACTTTTTCCAGTATCTGATGCTACAGTTCAACTTTGTAAAACAATTAGTAACAATATCAAAATATACCTAAATTTCCATGATTAAAATTATATTTTTAAATTTTGATGTAAACATGGCTGAAAATATATAGCCCCCCCATTATGATACAAAAAACTTAAATCGACTTTACTAAGCTTATGTTTCTTAAATATTCAATGGTCCATTTTCTAGTCGGGATGCATAAAAACAAAATACTGTAAATACACATACACAAACATATATATATATATTGTGTAAAGACTTCTATTCTTTATTTAAGTGAAAATGAGTATCACTGAAATGTTAATACGTATGATATCACACTACCAAAAGTTAAAGAAAAAATGTTAAGAGACTTTATTGCCATACTAACCTGCTGGACTGGGAAAATGTCCTGCAACTGGTGTTACAGAAATTGGTGGTGACGTGATTTTCTGGAGTGGTGTGGAAGGAGAGTTTACAGGGAGAGACTGTGCAATAAATGTACCATTAAGATGTTTATCTACAGTTGGAGTACATGTTTTGTTTGTATCAGGTACAAGTGGTGGTGGAGTAAAAGTAGTGTTCAAATCAGGTTTACTGTCACCTTTTGAGAATGTTTTGTTAAATTCATCCTTTTCCTCAGGGAGAACAGCAAATGTCTCATCTTGTACTGTTCTAGCAGTAACTTTAGGAGATACATGTAAGCAACTACCCGTGAAAGTCTGATTTAAACTAGTTTTTACATTTAGTACTGGTGAAGTAATATTTAAAAGCTGTTGTGAAGGGATGTTCTGGAAAGTTTCGTTAAGAGATCTCTTGACAGACTGTACATCTTGAGAATTTCTAGCATGATGAAAACTAATGTCATTCACACCAGGATGTGGAGAGCCATGTCGAGAACGACTCAGAGATGGACACGGGGAATCTGGCAAAATAAAATAAATGTAAATATACATACATATATAAAGTGACATTCTGACAGTTTTAAAAATTTTAGTACCTATTTAAGATTAGCATATAATTAAATGCAGAACAGAATCATTAACTTTCTGTACATATGGGCTCAGTCATTTTGACCCACCTTTTTTAACATTTAAACTATACTTACTATAACTTTTACGTTATTAAATGCATTTTCACAAACTTTAGCAAGCTTTTAGTATATATTACAAGTGTTTTGTACACACACACACACAAAACAAAAAAATTCAATTTTTTAATTAAATATTTTTAAGATTTGTCCGTAAATTTAAGGAGTCATAGTCTGATCAGAGCAGTCCGAGTACAATGTCAAGATTAAAAAAAAATACTTCTCATTTATATTACACTTTAAGATTTCATTTTCAAAATTTCTAGAACCTCTTAAATGAATATCAAGTTTTTAAAGCAAAATTATAGATTTCATCTGCTATTTTCTCTACCCTAACCCTGCGTACAGGCTTGGTCCATTGACTAACCTTGTAATTACTATACACCCACACACACAAAATCTAAATTACACATTATTCTTTCTAGAATTACTGAATATTGTTATGCATTATTTGTTCTTACAGTTAAAGCTAATACAATTCAACTCTCCAGTTTATTTAGGTTTAGTGCCATAGCTGAAAAAGAAATTAATCACAGTGGGGAAGCTTTGTGTAAACAGATTAATCCGTTACCTACAGGCTCAGTTAAATTACAACATGCTGTGCATGTGAAATGCACTTGTACTACCAAGTATTTTTCTGTTTAACTTTTCTTACACAACTTAATAAGTTTCTGATTTTAACATTTTAATTTAGTTTATAAAAATATACCTAAAAACAAAAAATTTAGTACTTGTGTGTGTGTGTTTCTTATACTTTTTTTTCTCTTGAAGTCTCAAAATATTAACACACAACAAAATAATAATGTCCTAAAAGTGTTATAATCTAACTGGCTTTCTGATTAAGTCACACATGCATTAAAATATTTTCCTTATCTGGTCGAGACAATCTTGATAACAGCAAACTACAAAACCGATACAAAATATTTCAAAACTGATCGTAAGAATGAGCTAATCTCATAAGGAAAAATAGTAAATTGAAATATTCTTTTCTAGTGGTTATAAATAATCCAACAGTACTTGCCAGAGAATTATAAAACATTTTTTTTAAAGACAGCACGTGCTAGAAGGGACGAGATATGCAAGTTTCAATTTAAGGCATATAACACATTAAAGCAAGAAGAACAGATTCTATACATTTCAGCTCGGGAATATCTAATATAGTCCTTGGAAATTTAAAAAAATAATGTAAGGAATATCAAAATATGCAAGTTGGAACAAAAAAATGTCACATGATAAACAGTAGTGAAGATCGAGAATTTATGTAAATATTTTCTTTTGAAATTAAACCCGTATAATATTAAAATACTAATTATAAACTATGTTTTGATGTCAAGTGTATTAACAAACAATGATAACAAAGTACATTAAATTTTGAACACAACTCTATAGAAATGTCATGAGATGCACACTTTGATCTACCCATGTCTTGAAGGTTAGGGTTATTTATTATAATTTATTTGACCAAGCAGTTTTTAATGAATGATAGATAATATGTATAAAAAGACTAAAAAGAAGAGAACTAGTAGAACTAGCAAAAATTCATAGATCTTGTTTCAGAATTAGTTTTAGGTTTTGAAGGTTTTCTATATCTTAAAATTTTTTTGTGATGTTGGTTTAATTAGTTCTATCAGTTCACATTTAACTGTTTTAAATAATTCCAGCCTAAAATTATGACTTACTGCATTTAAATAAGTAGGAATTAAGTTTATTGTAGTAGATTTAACAAGAGTTGTGCAAATATGTATAGAGTATTTGCACGTCTTTCACTGAACAATAAATCATAAATATAAATTTTTCGACAACTCTGCTAGTAAATAGCCAACCCTAAAACTAACCAATAAAAGCCTGTTATTTTACAATACAATTTTATATTTTTTTGTTGTTCTATCTACTCTCTATTTTTCTCTGTTTCACCCCTTAAATTTTTTTTACTTAAACTGTAACACTTACCTTCAGGAGATATAGAGTACAAATATCTGAAAATTGAGGCATTTTATGGGCAAAACACACAACAGTTTACAAAAAAAAATTCAATTAACACCAATTGTTCTAGTATTTCTTTAGTTGTCTCTATTTTCTAGGATCAAAGTTTATATTTTCCTATACCGAAAATGTATTTCCAATAATACTAATCCCTTTCCACACTATAGCCCAATGAAAGTTTCTCTTCTCTGCCCATTTAAGCATTGGTATGAATGATACCTTGCTTGCTCCCACTATATCACACATAGTGATATTAATCTTGTGACCAATGTCAATGCATCCTCTATACCAGATCTGTACACAAGCTCCCCATTATTACTTCTTATTCACTTTTTTCAAGAATGGCAAAATTATCAGTCCCGAACACTGGCCCTCTTGGGGAGAAAAGGATGGAAAGTGTGAGAGGGGTTAACTAAACTTCCAAAACACTTTTACCTCTTCTCACACTTTATCTAGAATTCCACATTGGCAAGATGGAGGGGGCAAGATCCACACAGAAATTGTGCAAACTGAGATATATTATAGCACATTAGTGGGGTCCACACTAATTCTAGAACAGGTATGCTCTTTGCCTGGATAATATGAAATTTAAAACAAGGGGTACAGGCCAAATGGCCACAGTGTTGAAACCATTACGTCGTGAGAATAAACATGCAAGGAGGGACGTCTATTCCGAAATTGGAATATTGTATGTGCTCACGAGAGTTGTCCAGGTCCCAACCATGCAGATGAAGTCCCATGTCTCATCGTTGGAATTATAGGGCTGTGGACTACAGTGTGATATCATTGTATTATAGTAATGTGATATTAACTCTATCATGACAGGTCATGTGTCAAAGTCCATGTCATCACGTTTGTTGACTTGCATTCAAAATATTATTCAACTACTATTTTATAAATTTATGTCAATAAGTTTGGTATCAAATTGTAGTTCATAATTCAAATTTTAGTACGAACCTGAAAGCTGCAGAATGTTGCATGTCGAACCAACCAGAATTATTAAGAAAAGGCAAGCAACACGAAACCTCACCCCAACATTAAGAAGCATGAAATGCAACAAACTGAACTAGAAATAATGGGCCCAGGAACCTAACCTGAAAATTATGGAATGTTGCATGCAAGACACCAGAAGAAGACAAGAAACATCCACGTGGACAAGCCCTCCCCTCAACCTACAGAAGTACAGAATGCAAAAAACCAAACTTGGAATTATGGGTCCATTCATGCCTCTCTCAACCTGAAGAAAACAGTGGAATTACAAACCTAAATCCTAACCCCCAACCTGAGAGGCAAGGACCCCCCCCCCCATCTGAATTACGAGGAGGATGTGGACCCCCTTCCACAATTATTGAAAATAATATAATGACCAAAAAAAGAAGGGCCATGCTCAACACAACTAGATAGCAAAGTTACGTCTCTAAACTGGAATTACGAGGAGGCTCCCATAAAACATCTGAAAAAACCCATCTAGGGTTATGAGTGGTAGGGAATCCATCTTCTCCTTGAGTGGATTAAAGTGCTCAAACATCATTCAGGTTGGAACAGACCTCTGTCCATCACTCCAGCAACTGGAAGTGGTAAGGACTCCATGCTCCACTATGGAGAAATGCAGGGAGAATTTGTGTTGGGGAGGTCCTGAGATGGTGCAATAGGTGAACCACGTTCCCTATTTTGAAAAGCAAAAAAACCCTAGTTTATTCAATCCAAGGGTCAGCAGGGATGGGCAAAATCTCTTTATGCTTTACTCATGATAGTGCATGAGTGGCAGTTCAGAATTGTATATTATTTATGGTACTGAATAATTGTGTACTACCCGTGGAAAATGCCAAAATGGTCTTATGGAACACCCCCATCTTAATAGAGCTCATTGGTACCAGAAATTTTATTTATTTATTAGTTTACTGGTAGCTGGTACAAATTGAGAAAAAGCATACTTGACCAGGCAACATCCACCACCAAGTGGGATCCAAAAGATAATGATGAGAGTGTCCCTGAAAAGGAATAAAATAGAACAGAAGAAATGATGTTATTCACCTCTGTCAAAATTGAACTGGGGCATATAGAATAGCCATCTGAGGAGGAAACTGCCAAATCATGTAAATAATGTGATATAAAGGTGTGGTCCACATACCAGCCTGTACCACTTCCTCACATAAGACCATTGCAGAAATTTCTGCCATTGAGAAAAAAGTGAATAAGAAGTAATACCAGGATACAGTGAGTGCACTGATGTAGGTGGAGAGAGTCACAAGATTAACATCACTATGGGCAATATAGTGGGATATAAACAAGTCTAAACACAGTACTCCAAATGTGGTCTAACCAATGACATTATAAATTCTTTAAACTTGTATCAATATTTATGTGGATACAACTTAAAATCCTATTTGCACTACCATTAGAAACAGCATATTGCTTGGATGTCTCAAGTCCAATCAACTGGAACACCAAGACATATAAGGTTATTCTTATCAAAACTATACTCATAAGTCAAATTGTGATATCCCACATGCATTACTTGCATATATTTTAATTAAAAGCCACTGATAATTATTTACCCAGCTCACCAAATAATCCAACTTCTTTTGTAAAGCAGCAACATCTTTTTTTTAACAGTCATCAAAATCTAAATCTACAAAATCACCAACAAATTTAAAAATAATCAATTGACCATTCCTACATTCATGTCTTTGATGTAAACACTGAGCCCAGAGGTACTCCATTAGTGACATGAATCTAGCTTAACTGAACTATATTTATAATAACCCTCCACTTCCTTCCATCCAGCCAGTTTTCTACCCAATGAGCCAATCTATCCCCACATACCTACACACAAAAAAAAAAAAAACTTTTGTAACAAGCCTTTTATGTGGCACCTTGTCAAATGGTTTCTTGAAATCCAGATACACCAAATCAACACATGTACCCTCATCAACATGAGCAGTAATCTCTTTAAAGAATGCCAAAAGATTATTAAGGTAAGATTTTTCACTAGTGAAACCATGCTGACTATCCAACAAAATTTTGAACTTTGCTAAGCATCTTTTATCAGATTGTCAAAAACTTTTCCCACCACTGATGTAAGACTAATAGGCCTATAATTTATCATCTCTCTTGAAAAGAAGAGTAACATTAGCCAACTTCCAGTCTTCTGGCACCTATCCACTATTCAAGGACTTAGAAAAAAAAATAGTGACAACTGGTTCATCAATTGGTATCCAATCTTCAAAACCTTTGGGTAAATATTATCTGAACTAGGAGTTTTATCATTCCTTAAACTTACAATTTTTTCTTATTAAGCTCAGAATTAATGTAATCATCTTAGAATCACCTTTTGTTTTTCTATAAGGAATATGCCTATTTCAAATATTTAAGAATTTACTTCTACATTTTTTCCATACTTGAGCAGTATCTCCAATCACTAGTTGCTCATTTCACAGCATATAATTCTTGTGTCATCCATTCAAAATTTTCTTTCATTTTATTATAAATTTGGAATTAAAATCTTATTAGTCCTTATCTTTACATGCAGCAAAATATCAAAATTAATTCAGCAATTATCACTTGCCACCCAATAAATATAAAATAGCATTGTTTCTAGTAGGTTTCTTAACTAATTGGTGAAGAAAACGATCCTGAACCATTTCTAAAAATAAACCTGTCTCCTTCATGATTTGACTAACATTTCCCAATCTATATGCTTGAAATTAAAATCTCCCATAATTATGACCTCATTAACAGCTGAATACTTTACCTTAATGTAGAGTTTCTCATTAGTTTCATCTACTGGTTCTGTATAATCCCTAACAGAAACCTGAACAGATTCAACCTCACTGCTATTAGCTTCAATATCCTTAGCTTGAACACGACGTAACTCATATTTTACATAGTACTCTATCCCTATTAAACAATTTATAACTCTGTATTTCAACAAAGTTTCTGTCATCACAATGGTCTACATTTAACCAGGTTTCAGTTATTCCCATTATATCAAAATCTTCTAACCCAACCAGTGCTCTTGTCATCCGAACAACAAGAAAAACCATTAAAATTCATTTTTTTTTTACCTTTATGTAGCACATAAAAAATAATAAAATAACACAAACAACAAATATTTGGATTACTTTTAGTCACATGATAAAAGAAAGACTTCTGATGTAATCACGAAATGTTAATATCCCATATGATAGGCTGCAAGAAAGAAAATAATCCCATCTTTTAGATGATATATTTATTAATTGCTTAGCTTTAGACATTTGAAAAGTGTAAAACAAAAAGTGTAGTTAGTCTAACTTTATGATTTTTGAAACACTCCATGAAAAAAAAGGTTCACTGTTTTCAAACTATTTGAGCTAGAAGTAAGCAGCAAATATGCAAAAATACCACAACTTACAGCCATATTTCAATGTTGATAAGTTTCACTTATACGTGTAGGAAGTTTAAATATTTATACTCTCCCAACTGACATTTATAACTTAAGGTGGTTGAGGGAAATGAAAATCAGAAATTTTGAATATTTTTTTATATTACTTTATCCACAAAAAATGCTAATAAATTATGTATCACACAGAATTCTATAATTTCAAATTTCGATTGTAGTTTTTTTTTAATTTAAGGGGCTTAAGAGAAGATATCAGACACATTTTGTTTTAATATTTAATGTCAATCGTATTTTCTCAGAAAAAAGTACGAGATACAGAGCAGGAAAGGGTTAAATAAATAATCTTGATTTTAATTATTTCTTTTGAAAATTAGAACTTTTCTTTGCTGTGTAACATTCAAGAAAATAGAAACCACATTAAACGTGTTAATGAATAATAATGACTAACTTATTAATATTAATGTATATTAATAGTACAAACCTTTGAGTGTGTTGATTTCTTCTACAGGAGACAAAGGGAAAGCCAAATTTTCTTCACTATTTTTAGGGTTTATAAAATTTGGCATATTATTATCTTCAGTGTTGGGAGAAGGATTTAAAATAGTAATGAGTGGTGTACGTGTAGGCTGAGATGTAGGGGTTATGGGAAGTACAGAGTAAGTTGATAAGGTCAAAAGATGAACTGGTTCTGATAACCCCCCACTCTTCCGTGATTCATCAGCCCACATTACTCCTTTCTCACCTTCTGCCTTTAAAAAAAAAAGTTAAAGATCATCATCAAACAGCCTGTTTCTGTGAATAAGAAGCCTTAAATAAGATGCTTCCTATATCCAATAAAAATTTTTATATTTTCAATATACAGTAACTTTTTAAAAGAGGAAACATTTTACTCACACGCTTGAAACATTGTCAGAATGATTTTAAAAATGACCCTGAAGACGTGGTTAGAAATTCCACTGGGGCAGGAACAGCAGTGGTAGTAGTAACTACTTGAAATTGTGAGTGCATACTTACAAAATATAAACTCAATGAAAAGAAATAAAAGGTATCTAGAAAAAAAAATCAAATATTCAGAAATTCCTAAGCAAAAACAAACACATCTTAACAGAAAGAGAGTCAATTGAGAAATGATTAGCAGGTGCATTGTTAGAGAAGGCGCTAGTTACAATAAGGGTAGTGTTGCACTCCTATTGGCAGAGGGTTATTGCATGATCCTTGCATGTAGATATACAGAAAAACTGAGAGTTAAAAGCCTAGTGGTGAGTGAAAAATTTGTGCCAACAGAGAGCAGTACTAATCAAGAAAGCTTTTTTTGTGAAAGGATCTAAGATATCTTATCGGAAGTTAAAAGTATAAACTAGCGTTATTTTGTTCAAAACTATTAGGAATTTCCTCCTAGGGGCCTATGAGTATCATATTATGCACAAACATTAATGATTTGATTGAGAATTCACTGAAGTATAACCAAAATAAAAATCTGCAATTATAGAAAAACTATATATAAAATTGAATAAGATTTTTTATTGAATGAATTTCAATTCTAAAATACTTTAATTGTTTTATTTTGTGAAAAATAAACTGTAATTTTTCTCCCATAATTCATTTAAATCAGTAGTGCAATTCTGCACTTGAAGTGGACTGCACCCATCCAGGATTGAAAGATCCAAGTCAAAATACCCAAGTAGGAACAGCTGAGAGCTGAACTTTCAATTAACATCATATAAAAAAGGAAAGTTGAAAACAAGAAATGTTACACAATGAACATAAGCTAGCTTATAAATTTATTGATGCACCACTCAATAACCTTCTATTCCAAGTTACACAATGTACCAACTTAGAAACATACCTATTTTCAGTGGTAACATCTCATGTTACAAAAATAACTTTGCTGTGAGGGTTGATACTGCTGTAGTCCATCTTTTTCAGCTTATCATATTATTGTTAATCTGAGGTACTATGTTTAATTTCTGGTGATACAAATGTTATTTCTAAGTAGATTTAAAAAAAAAAAACTTAAATGCCTATGAATGCTCAAAATAAAGTAATTATTCTACAAGAAAAATATTTATAGTCTAAGAGACTTCACACAGAGTAAGGTAACAGACTTTTAACGTCTAATACTTAAGTAAGTTTTGAAAGAAAGACAATATTGAAATAATATGCCGCTTCAGTAAAAATATCAATATTTTAAGCCCAGACAACATATCAGTTGATCTGTGACAAAAGTTACAAGTGTTTATTTTACTTTAAGCTACAATTAAAACTAAAGTGCTTGCAAATATTTTCAATGTCACTGTGACATTTTATCCAATCAAGCTGTTACTAAGTCTAAAATAAGTTGTTTTGCCAATTTTAAATTAATACAATGAACAAATTTATTATTTTAACATCTTCATACTTACTTGTTTTACAAGACAGTCATAAAGACTCTTCAAATCAGAAGTTAAGAAACCATGGCCATCTAAAAGTATCTCCAGCTGCCGTACTAGCTTTAATGTTGGTGAAAGAAGCCTAAGAATAAAATAATAGCAATAAAACCAATAAGTCATTAGTAAATAGAAAAAATAATAAAACAGAGGTTGAATATGTTATCCCTATGGACACAGGGAGGGGTCAGAGGGCATGTCATAATGTTTGTAGACTTACATTCAAAATTCTATTTAACAATTATTTTATAAATGTCTATCAAAACAGTTTGGCATCAAACTGAATATTATAATTAAAATCTTAGAATTATACATTAGTTAATATTAAAAGAAGAGGGGCTAAATATTGATTTATCTGTGTCATGTGGTACGTCGCCTTCTGGGTTTGGTCAGGTTACATTTTATGATGCCCACAATAGAATGTTTATAGATATTTCAGATATTGGCAAGCTAGAATAGAACTTAAGAACGTTCTACCTTTTCTATTTGCTGTCTATCATGATATTTAGCGAATCCATCACACTGGTTCAGCCCACCACTTCATGAATTGAGAAGACTTGTTTATCTATGACTACGTTCGTTTACCAATAGCTTTATAACCAATCAAAAGCTCTACATTTCTTCTATGTAATTCTGTCAGTCTTTCTAAGTTACTTATAAGAGAAAAGCTCTTATATCTTTGGAAAGTTTGAAGTATTACGATCAAGGCTATTTACTGAACAGAAATTAGAGTATTTTAGACCCAAGTACAATTTAGTTAGGAAGCCTGGTAAATTACAGTGGATTTTTGGGGTACTGGAATAGTAATCCAAAAAATTTATTTGTACTGTCTCTTTTATGTACACGTAACTACTTCACAGGATGTGGATGGATCTTCACCAAAATTGGTATGGAGGTTCATTAGGTCCATGCCGGGGTACATAGAAATTTTCAGCTTTGCATTTTGCAGTTTTTATGGCTGTTTCTGCATTTTCTACCACTACTTTGCTCCCTGTTGTTGGACCTTTACCAAATTTGGTATGGAGGTTCAGTGGGTCTATGGGGAGATACATAAAAATTTTTAGTTTTGTGGGTTTTATGGCATTTTTTTTACCACTATCTCACCTCCTGTGAATGGTTCTTCATCAAATTTGGTATGGGGGGTTTATTGGGTCCATGGGGAGATATATACAAATTTTCAGTTTTGCATTTTCTACCACTAATTTCTGTGATCTCCATAGTGTAAAGAAGTTTTGTACATGTGTATATCTTGTTTTTAAAAAAGTGGAGTTTGTGCTATCCATTTATTGTTCAAATTTATTGCCAACAAGTCACATTGTGGAAAGATGAGCATGGTACAATAGAAACTGCAATGTTGGACAATAGTGCTTTACTATGGCAATCATATTAATATGATTCTACCATCAACCTATTCCAAACTACATACAGAGATCAATTTTCTTGCTTCTAATCTTGAGGTCTAAAATTGTATCCGAAATCCATTTACATTTTTTCAATTTTACAGCTACTATCACAATTAAAAGCAAACTGTTTTGCAGCCAACCACGCTGATAGAAAACTAACACAACCTTAACTGGAGTTGTCTACAAGTTTTTAATATCTTAAATTTTTTTTTCTCTAGACTTAATGTCTGCAGCTTTTATTAATGAAAACAACATCTACATTTATGGTTTCTAAACCTGTAACAATTTTGAAAACTTAAAATCATTACCCTTCCATTCCTTCTTCTCTTCAACAAAAAATGTTCAGAGACTTCAACCTATACACTAACCCCCCCAAACCTGGAATCATTCCTTCTCTGAATTACATAAAACACCTCAACATCCTTTCTTAAATAGTGACAAAAACTAACAATACTTTAACCAAGTTCAACCTGCGCTGGTAGCCTCCTTTGACCTGTACTCAGTATTTCTTTGTACATCAAAATCCAATCATTTTTGACAGAGTTATAGAGCAAAAATAGTATGAAAAACTGGTCCCCATGTTAACAGATAGGGAATTTTTAGATTTTCTCAACTCTGCTGTGACCTTTAACCTTGACCTTCCAAAGACTAATCATTTCAAACCTGGGTCATATTCCAAATGGTTACCAATTTTAGTTCAAATCCATTTGAGAAACCTTGCTGAAAACATAACCCCCATCCACCTTTGCAGGAAGAGGTAATAATTTAACATAAAGAATAAATATCAGGAATGAAAATAACATCAAAATAAACTATAAGATAATCCCATACTTGTTTATAAATGTTGTAAACTTTGCATTAGGATCATTTGTTTACTCCTTCAAGAGCTTTTGTGGATAGCTAATGTGTCAAAAAAACCTCTATTTACTACTACAGGAAATTTATTTACTCTACGCTGATGTGGATAAATTAGAATCCCTTCTATTCAATTGTTTTTAAGACATTGACTTTAGCTATTTTTGACATCTATCTTCAGTAGTAATTATTCAGACAACAACTGTAACAACATAAAAGGGTATAAATAAAAGGTTGTAGTAACAAAACCATCAATAAAGAAGGAAAACAAGACATAGATCAATACGTTTCCAAGGACGATAGTTTCTTAGAAATATAAACCCATACTCCAGGATGAGTAGAAAATTCATACAAATATATACATAGAAGAAACTAATTTCAGTAATGAAATTTGTTACATTTTTTTACCTTTTTTCAAATTCCCTGACTATTCTAGGTTTGTGACCACCCTATTTATAGAAAGCATTGTAAAACTTAATTAAAACTTGTTACAACAGTGTAACTATTAAAAAAAAAGAGACTTTTCTTTCATCATCATCACAAAATTGTTATAACCTATGACAAAAGTTGGCACATTTTTTGGACATTAAAGTTCAATTTATTTTATATTTTCTCAATCTGAAAAAGCTTAACACTCCAAATTTGCTTATGCTCTTTTTTACCTTTCAGTCCTAGATGCTTCTGTCTCTAACATCATGGCTACTTGCTGGGAATGCCTGTTCTGTTGACGCAAATCCCTCACCTCCGTTTCAAGACAATGCTGATGAAATTTTAACTTTAGATTCTGTAAGGTAACATAAAATATAGTCCCACTTTTAGAAATATTTATACCAACAATGTAGTGCCTGTAAGTTATTGCAAATAAAGTAATTTTTAAATCTGAAAACGAGAAAACAGTACTATTACAGTCGATTAGCAAAAATGCTGCCCATCAGGCAGCTGTTTAGTCAGGATCTTGATGAATTGATCTTCTAACTGCATCTTGGTGAGCAATTTGATGTGCTTCTCTATTTTTGGTTTAAATGTTGTTAAATTTTGATAACTAATGTTCACAGTATTGCTCTTCCTGTAACAAAAGTAACATTATATGACTGTTGTGATATATGATTTGTTCTATTAAAAAAGTTAAAATATTCTTCGTTCTTGCCAGTTAGCTCTGTACTTTAATCAAACTGTTGAGTGAAATAAGAACTATGTAAAAGTAAAATGTTTTACTCTAGATGTTGTTATAATATATTCATTACAAATATTATAAGCCTACATAAATACCCAATGCCAGTGTTGCATATTAATTATTGAGATTAATTATATTTTAGTACTTCTTAAGCTCTCGTAAATATTTTCCAGCAAATGAAAGAAAAAACACAATTCAATCACAGTTAGGTACAGAAATTGCAGAACAACACAATGTTCACATCTAATTAGATGAAAAGCATTGTGCTAATGCACGGAAAACCTTAGTACAGAGTAATGATCTTATTATATAAAACACTAAACTATTTCATATATATCCAGTTGTACTAGTCATGACAGTGGTACAGGACCATTTTTTAAAGAATAATGGTTAATTAAATTCACCTGATTATTGTAAGGAGTTTTTCCTTCAAGTATTCTTTCCTTTTACTGAATGATTATTCTTTCATATTTCAGATATATTAAGCTTATGAAGATTAAGTTAATTAAATATCCAACAAAGAAGAGTTAATAAAAGTCCAGATAATACATTTACTTACCTTCTAACTTCTGACTATTTCACTGAACTTCCCAAAATTCCACATGTAACTATCTCACAAAAAAAATGTAGTAGGCATAACTTTGGGGCTATGGGATTTGACAACGTTTTACCTTTTCATAATTACTATAAGAATGTACTTGAATTTTGGCATGTTCAGAAACTTTTATGTTTTCTAACATTTAATTAGTGTCCTTTCAAGAAGTAGGCAGCCTTGCTAGGGGCAAGTGACATGCCACACAATTTATACTTACCTGTCCTGTGTGTTATTTCATTTGCACACGAGCCGTACACAAATGTGTGATGATACAGGTCATTTGCACTGGTTAGTTTAAGCAAGGAAATTATCTTATCTTGAATGTAAAATGAGAATAACCTCTAATTTGGACAGTTAGAATTGTGGAATGTAAACTAAGGTGATGTTTTACCTGATAAAATCTAATATCACGCAATACTTCCAGTTCTTGTTCTGTGAAGAGTTAGTCTGCATCTAAAACTTTGCCATCAACAAAAAATTCTTACCTCACATACAAGTTTTTTATTTCTGTCTTCAGTATAATAGTTTTCTATTCCCTCCTCCAGTTTTTTCAGCTCTTCAATGTTCTTCTGCAGTTCATTTACCAGGTCAGTTTTTCTAGCCTCCAATCGAGTCTGCTTTCCTTTTAACGAGCAAATTGCAGCATCTGCTTTTGAAGTACTCTAAAAAAAGAAAGGAAAAATACATGAAAATATTATATAAAGCAGCAGTATAATGCATTATATATAAGTTCATGATTCCTTTTTTTATCTATCATTTGTAATAAGTCTGTTGCATCAAAGTTTATCGAAGGAGGTTATTGTTTTGAGATATATATAATTCATTACATAAAAGATACATTTTGTGCCAAGCCCAAAAAATATTTGAAGACTTACCATAATTATAATGTTGCAATTTTTTTGTTTTAAAAATAAGCTAAAGACTTTTCTCATGAATGATTTTTAATAATTTCATACAACGATGCTATATCTCACTTGGTTACGTTGCAAAGTTTTAATATATTGTCTTTCTTCCATAACCATACTTACAAAAAAAGACTGAAAGTAGAATCTATGTTAAAAAATAGTAATCATATTCCAGGATAAATTGAAAGTGCAGCATACAAAAGTTATTGCTCACCTTACTGAGTTTGTCTCTATCAATGGACAATAATGAAATCCTGTCCAAGTAGGTCATACGCCACTGTATTTTCCCCTGAAACCCAGAAATGAAACGGTTGTATTCTAACTGTACGATTTGTTGTGGTTAATTCAATTTAAGAATATGTTTTAGATCAAAATACACAGAAAGTTACTAGTTTCATCATTTAGTTACACGCTTTCTTTTAATTAAACAGTATTGATTCATAAATCATTGCATTATGAAAACTGTACACAACTCAAAACTAAGGCTAATGGACCATTTAAATCATGGCTTTTTACACTCTGTGAATGTGGTAGAAGGTAATGGTTTTAAAAATATGAAAAAATAATAAAACTGTGTATGAAGTAATTACAAAAACAAAATGAATCTAATTATAATTAAAATTAGCATAGAAGTTATAGTGTAAAAATTTTATAATGCTTATATATGAATAATTTTATTCACCACTATAGCAAATAGTATAAAATTAAATAAGATTAATTCATGTATTATCACCAAGAAAATTTTGCAGAAATTCAAGTGCATTCCTTGAAAAGTATTTTTTGTGGTCTAAAACTTTTTCATCTTAATGCTTTGGACTTGAACACCACGGGACAGTTATGAACTGTTCTTCCAAACTTTGCAGGAAATTGATAGGATATTATATCAATGAAGAGTATAGGATGACATCAAGAGTTGTAATCTTTATGCAGGACAACAATTTCAGGAAAATTCCTCTGAATCATTAATATTAGTATTGCAGAGAGAAAGTTTACACTAATCATTGAGTGAAATATTTTTAAGGTTTGGCTTAGGACAAAGATATAATAGATGAACTTGTGTGTGCTTCTAAACTTGACAGTCAACCTTGTCTTTATGTTCACTATCTTACTGAAAGATGCATAATACTTTTAAACATGTTGAATAAATACAAACAATATTTGCTTTCTTTGGCCAAGGTTAAGCTAACAGCTCTATGCCACCCAATATACACTGTTGAAATATTCATTTAGCAAGGTTTGGTAAACAAACGTTTTATTTCCTAGATAGACTGAGAAATGATCATGATGTGATCATGTAAAACCTGTGACTCTCACATAAATTTAAATTATAATCATCATTTTAAGGAGCACTATCTAGTGTGCACTCAAACTGAAAATAAGGAGTGTGATCCTCAAACTTAAGGTCTGTCATTTGTGAAATAATATCAATAATTTTTGAATCAATGTGAAAATAACAGTTTCACTAAATTTGGCAAGTTTTTAGAAAACATAAAATACAAATATTTTTGTGTTTAATAAAGTATTTTTTACAAAAGATATGTCAGTGAATTTACCAGGTCAGTTTGACTAAGACTAGTTTGGATTTAAGACAATTTATGTTAAGAATAAAAATACTTCTCTATTATTATAGTTTTCATATTTCATTTACATAATTTCTAGAATCTCTTAAAATTAATTTCAAATTTTTTTGGTAGAACTTTATACTTTATCTCTTATTTTCTCCACACTAAAACTAGCTGTAGCAAAAGTTGAAAAACATGAAGTAAAATCAAAAGTAATTTTATTTTTGAATACCTGCAAACTGTAACAGACAATTACAGTTACTTGTTCTAAACAACCTCAGGCTCTTAATAGTTTCACATATGCTTTCATCTAATTACACTATCTTATTGCTCTTTGAACCATATCTAACTACTAAACTAGTTTAACAAAACAAAAATCACCCAGCAAAAGCACAGCTCAAGTTACAATAAATAAAGTATGAATGTACATAATGCACGAACAGATTGTATGATACCTCACATATTTTTAATTTTCTTAACTAACCTAATAAAAATCTAAATCATACAACACCAAATAAATATAAATATATATATATATAAACAAGAAATTTAGTTCTTATATACAAGTTGTACTTTTTTTGCCCCTGAAGTCTTGATATAGACAACAATAAGTACAAGGAATATAATGCCTTATAACTATTACAATTTAACTGGCTTTCTACTCTTACTCTTGAGAAAAGAAGAGATAGATGGGATCTGATTGAGGTGTTTAAAATTGTTAAGGGAACTAATAGTGTTGATGCATCGTATTTAATGGTGTGGATGGTAAAACTAAGATACACAAATACAAATTTTGTCAAGGTAGGAGACATCTTCAGCTAAAACAGCTTTATTTTTCTAACAGGGTAGTTGGTCTTTGAAATGAGTTGGTTGCAGATGTTAAGTGTAATGAATTTAAAGGATAAGTTTGATAAGTTACTTTTTTGGTAATAATTTTACATGATACTTGAAGTGCAGTATTTAAAACATTTAATGAATGTTTTGTATTGAGAATATACAGTTAAGCTGCCAATGTTCAAGGGAATAGCCAATGAGAATGTGATGTTCTTCCTAAGGTGTATCAAACAATTGAATATTTGGAATGGCTGGACAAAGAGACAGGCAATGCAATGTGTGTTAATGAACTTGAACAGTCCTACGTTTGATGAAAGTGAGGAACTTATGCAATAAAAAAAAAAGTTGAAATATTATAGATGAATTTGGCATAAAGATTTGGATTTTTTATGATCCTGAGATAGAGCCCAAAGATGAGTTTCTTTCTGAGATGGAAATATTGTAGTAGTTTGAGTTATTTAAAACTTAACTAGTGAGTTGAATCCTTGGTTCAGCTGGTGGAGCACATGCTTGACATGTTAGTAGTGTTGGATTCAATACTATTTGCAGGAGATGCAAAACTAGATTGACACACATCAAAAAAACAAAGTTTCACATTGAACTTTAAGACTCAAAAACGAAGCTAGTCATCAGTATAGCTAATTAAATATACTTTTTTATGTTCTACTTATAAAGAGTCGAATGCATTGTTACATCAGTTGGGTTTAACGACTCTTCTTCAGTCATTAAAAGTTGTAAATAGATTGAAAAAAAAATATTTCACCTGAATTTGCTTTAAGGAACTTTCACATTCCAAGTATGCTCGACGTATCCTCTGACCTTCTTTAAAGAGTGCTGACATCTTGGTACTGTAAGGTATAAATTCTTCTATTTCATCTTCATGTACACAGACTGGTTTATCACATGTGACATAAGGTTGCTGTATTGAGTCTTGTCTAGTTTCAACTGTAGCTGGTACATTCTTTGGAAACATTTTCTCATTTTCATACACAGAAAGCTTTTCCTTAAGTTCAGAGATCTGAAAATAACATAAAAAATGGTTATTGTATAATTTCGCTGTAATCACTAACATCCTGTTTTATTCACATCTTTTATTTGCTTGAGAACTGAACAACTCATCGAATCTATTTATTAGTCAAAAAAATTGTATATTTTTTTAATTGATAACCTGAAGAAATAGTACAGAATGATACCTTATTGCTTTATATTCTTTATTTCCTTGTATGCATTTTTTTTTAGCAAGTGGTAAAGACATTGAATACAGTGTACTCATTTAGTTGCATTCTTACTGGTAACTCATAAGATGCTGCCTGATGGTCTTGAATATGGTTAATTTGATGGAGCTTTTATAGTTTGTCCTGGCTTGTAACTATTTTTTCAAACATTGTTTATTACTGTATACTTCTCTGTTGCTTTAGACTATTGTATAAAAATTATAATAATAATAACAAAGAGACCTTCATGCACAATTTTTGACAAAATGATCATTATGCATTTGAACAACGAAACTCCTCTTATGTTTTATGTCTTTACGCTTTCAAACATGTTATGTAGAATGGTTTTTCTATAAACAATAATATTTCTTCTTTGTTCTCCTTCTTTATCCATAAATCAACCAAGACAAAACATGATTTGGCTGTGAGTGGAAAAGCAGTTAAACTTTTTAGGAGTTTGGGAATAAAGCCATAACTCTATCACATTTATGATAATACTCTGAGGAACATTTAGAAATGACAAAGATGTCCAAAGAATTGGTAGAAGTTGTGGAACTAAATCTAGCTTTATGTGTATTTAAATGTTTTAATGTTAACATATGAATTCTCTTGTAATGTAGTCAACTATTCGAAAGTGCTCGAGCTTTGGGTCTTATTTTAAGTCTATTACACTTTATATGTGATCATTTGTGCTAACACTTTTATCAAAATTGACAGAGCCAATAATGTTACAAGTCCTTTCTACATTGGCATTAATGTTAATTGAGGCTGAAACTGTTTGCACACACCACTTAAATCCAATTCATATGAAAAGAAAATTAAAGTTGATAAAAAAACTATTAGCAAAAAGAACTGATAATAACTTTAGGATTTTTTTATTTATATATCTAAAAATATTAAAATAAATTATAATTTTTCTCAGAATAGCAAAGGAATCTCAGAATTGCCCTGGATAGCATCTACTGTAGAATGTCAAAAAGTAAAATAAAAAAACTGGGAAGTACAAAAAATGGTTTTAACTACCTAAACAAAATATTAGAAAACACACCAAAGAAAGGCCATTTCTATTTTATAGATTACTAGATTGGGGGTACTGAAGTTATGTAAATTCATGATAACTGAAAGGTAATCTTTGGACATGAAAAGTTACTTTCGTCATATGTAATTATAAAAAATACAAAAACACCCATAAAAACAGCAAAACACAAAGTTTGTGTGTTTCTCCCCATGGACCCAATGAACCTCCTTACCAAATTTGGTGGAAATCCATCTACAGGGTGTGAAACAGTGGTAAAAAACCCAAAATGCAAAACTGAAAATTCTTATGTACCCCCACATGGACCTAATGAACCTCCGTACCAATGTTATAATTTTCATACAGTGAAAATGTATTTCCGATATGTACTTATCTCCTCTCATATAAATAGGTATTCCCGTTTAGTGCTGCCCTCTATACACAAAAAATATTTTTTATGCATGTTACAAGCCTTTTATCTCCCGTCCATTGGAATTGACTGATTCCAGTGCATCTCTCATGCAAATAATCATGAGTCAACCCTAAACCAATAAGACTGTGACATACTACCATGATGTATGTGACTCCCTCTATTCAATTGTACCAAACTATCACTTTGAGTTTTGGCAGAAGATGGAAGCACCAATTTTCAATGGGAAGGAAGGGTGAGAGGGGGTAAGTACCAATTGGAAATACATTTTCAGTGTAAGAAAATTATAACTTCTGATATGGTACATTACCTCTTTTCACATAAATATCTAGAATCCCACATTGATTAGGTGGAGGGACCAGTGTGAAGGACACTCCATAAGAGACAGCCAAATTATAAGATCTGATGTGGAGAACAGCACCACTACTGAAC